GAGGGGTATAGCCGGCGAGGGGCTCTAAGGGCAGGGAGGAGCTGTGGGGCAGAGGTCTGGGGATATTTGGGGAGGGCTATAGGGGGCTGGGGGAGCTATAGGGGAGGTGGCTGTAGCGGTCTGGGGAGAACCTGTAGGGGGAGGGTCCCTGGGATCCGGCGTGAGAGGGGGGCCATAGGGTCCATGCCAGGAGGTATTGGGATGCGATGGGGGGGGGCACAGTGAGCAAGGCGGGAGGGAAAGGGGAAGGTGTGTTGCAGCGGGGAGAGGGGGCAGCGCTGGAGGTTCCTGGGGGTGAGGTGTTGCTGGGGCTGTAGGGGACGCACCGCTGTTGGGAAGTTGTACGGCAGTTCAGCAGAGGAGACTGGAGCAAGGGATCAGGGGTGTCTATCAGGACACCTAGGTTCCCCTCCCCCCTCACACAGGTTTGTCACTGGAGTCATTTCAGGGCACAGCACCCTCATGGACCATGGATGGGATTGTGTGTGTTGGGGGGAGGGGGGTACAACCCTGGCCATGATGCCCGGAGGACAGGATGCCCATGAGAATTGTCCCTAAACCCCTCCATTGACCCTCCCTCCCTCCACTCCGCAGGGAGCTTGTCCCAGGAGCTTGCACCAGGGCAGGGAGGGGGTGTCTGGAGAAACAGGCAATTGCTCACGTCTGCTCCTAGCCAGTTCTGGGGTTTATTTGCGGTGGCTGAAGCCCTGTATCCCATTCTAAGGCTGGCCAGTCCAGGGCCCTGGAGGGGTGAGACCTCCTGTCCATTTCTTACTCCCACCAGCCGCTCCCTCACTCTGGGACCATATCAGAGGTGGCACCCAGTCTAGAGGGCAGCCTCCCTTCCCCCAACCTCCTTTAGGGCTAAAACCTACAAGGCCTGTCCAACTCTTCTTCTCCTGACCTTCCCATCCACACCGGCCTCAAGGGATTTGATTTTGAGGCTCCCTCCCTGGGCATTTGCATCCCTCCTGGGGAGCCAGGACCCCAGCTTCAGAGCAGCAGCTAAACCCTTTTCCTTTTGGAAGCAGTCTGTGATTTTGGGCTTTCAGAGGCTGCCAGGCCACAGCCCCTTCCAAAAGCCTGCGCTTCCTTCGGGAGAACCGGCCTGTGGGTCTTCAAGTGACTTGAACCAAATAGCTGGTTTCTAGGAAGCTTACAGCCTGTTTTAAAGAGGTAGCCTCAGTCTGATCAATTTTGGGGCTTGCCTGGCTAGGGGGAAAGTGAGTGGGTAGCTTCCCCGATGGGCCCCTACCTCAGCTGTGTTGGAATCCCTCTGCAGGCCAGTTTCATCGGGTCTCCAAAGGATCTAAATCACTTTCCAGAGGCACCACCTGATCCTGCTCCCCCACATGGCTCGACAGCTAACGTGTTTTCCTCATGCCAGTCACAGGGCAGGGTCCCTCTGCACCGTACAGACACAGGACAGCCCCTGCCCCACAGGGTGGGCGGCTTTACAGGCTTACTGAGGGAGGGTGGGGTACTTATGGGTAAGGCAGGGGATGGGGATGCCCTTTGCCACCTTGCTTGCTGGGATTCACCAGGGTGCTGCAGTTTTCAGCGGGACATGGAGGCTGAGGTTCTCCCTAGGTCCTTGGGTGGAATGCCAGACCCCCAGGAAAAGCAGTGAGCAAATGCCTCCACAGTACCAGTCCGAGAGCCCCCTGCCCCTCACAACCAGAGTCCAGAAGCCCAGCTCCCACGCCTAAGCAAAGGGGCGGCAGGATGGAATCTAAAATGAGCAAATTTGTTCATGCCACTTGGCGCGTGATGGGCAGCGTGTGGCGTAACTGGAGGGAAGTGTAGGCTAGTGGTTAGAGCAGAGGCTGGGAGTCAGAACTCCTGGGTTCTCTGCCTGGCCTCTGGGAGGGAAGTGGAGGCCAGTAGCTAGAGCAGGAGGAAATGGGAGGGAACTCACACATTCTACTCCAGCCTCCTTTGTGCCCTGAGGTACAACCCCTCCCCAGCTTAGTTATGCCTCAGTTTCCCCCATCTGCAAAGCAGGCCTAGTAACACTCACCTCTCTCCATAAGCCTTGTACAAAGGGTGCCCCCATGTGCTGTTATTCTCCCCCCAAACCCCAGAGCCTAGTCCCTGAGTCTTTATAACCTGGTCCTTTCCCAGCATCCCTTGCTGCAGTGCAGGTTGTGGTGGGGGGAGGGGCTCTCATGCTGCCTCCCAGTCATGTGTCTCTTTCACCTGTGTAGGAGCCACCCCCTTGCAGGCCCTAGACAGCCAGGGCACCTGTAGGTAAGCCAGAGCCCCTGGGCCTCTTGCTTTTGGGGGGCACAGGGGCTAATCAGTAGCCACGTGGGATGGTGGGAGGCACGTGCAGGGGCCCCTGGGGAGGGCTGCTGGGATCCTGGGGGCAGCTGGGGGTGGATCAGTGCCAGCAGGGCAGCAGGTCCCAGCAGCTTCCTCTGTGCGGCTTAACAAAGAGGAGGCTGGGGGGGGGGGGACTGTTCTCCGCCTGTGACACCCCCATGGGGAGCGAACAGCAGGCACCCGCCTCCCCAAGGCCCTGGCTGGGATTGGAAATAAAGGGCTGGTTATTACTGGGGGGAGGAAATGAATCCCTGGAAGGATTGGCTGGGGCGGGGCTGGCTTCTCCCTCAGTGGCAATTAGCCAATCGGGCCAGGCTGTGTGCCCTGGGGGGCAGAGGAGGTGATCCTTTGGGGAGCTGGCTGACAACTGTCCCCTTAAGCCTCGCGGGGGGTGTCAGATTAAGGGGCACGGCCAGCACCCTGAGGCCTCCCAGGTGTTGTTCAAAAGCAAAGGGCAGGACCCCAGGCCTCGGGGAGGGTCTGTGGTGTGTAAACCCCTCCGCCGGGGACGAGGAAGTGAAACTGAGGGAGCTGGTAATGGCCAGGCCCCCCAGGGAGGATAAACAGCCCCCCTGTGAATCACCTGCCCCCCAGCTAGGGCACTGCTGGGGTGAGGGGCCCACGAGAGACATGGGCAGGGCGTATTGTGCTGGGGCTGTTCTCTGCTTCCCCCTGCCCCGGGCCCATAGGGAGCAGATCAGGGGCCTGGCTGAGCACCCGGCCCTGGGGCTGTTCTGCTTCCCCCCAGCCCCGGGCCCATAGGGAGCAGATCAGGGGCCTGGCTGAGCACCCGGCCCTGGGGCTGTTCTCTGTGCCCCACGGGCTGGAGAGTATCGTGAACTGCTCTGGGGCAGCTCTGACTCGCTCTGGGGGGCAGCAACTCACAATCCAAGGCAGGACCTAAGAATCAGCCCTCAGGTAGGAAGTGGCCCAGGAAAGCCAAGCACCGGCCCCACCTCTATCTCCTGCCCAGCCACAGACGGAAGGGAGGAGGGTCCAGGGGGAGGCTGACCCAGCCCTGTCTCTGCGCTGTGTGAACACACAGACACAGACATCCCCCTGCCCCCCAGTCGCCCCCAGGGTAGCTGGTCCTGAGAGCCGGGCTGGCTCAGCTCAGACTCCAGTGGGATCTGTTGGGGACTAGCACCCAGCCCCCCCGAACCCTGCTCTGGCCTCTGCCCCCCGCCTCTGGGCAGCCCACCA